GTCAGAGAGACGATGTACATGTTTAAAGTTTGGATGTGAGGAGGTCAGAGAGAAGATGTACATGTTTAAAGTTTGGATGTGAGGAGGTCAGAGAGAAGATGTACATGTTTAAAGTTTGGATGTGAGGAGGTCAGAGAGACGATGTACATGTTTAAAGTTTGGATGTGAGGAGGTCAAAGAGACAATGAACATGTTTAAAGTTTGGATGTGAGGTCAGAGAGACGATGTACATGTTTAAAGTTTGGATATGAGGAGGTCAGAGAGACGATGTACATGTTTAAAGTTTGGATGTGAGTAGGTCAGAGAGACGATGCACATGTTTAAAGTTTGGATGTGAGGAGGTCAGAGAGACGATGCACATGTTTAAAGTTTGGATGTGAGGAGGTCAGAGAAAAGATGTACATGTTTAAAGTTCATTTTGCTTCTGGAAATGTACAATTCAAATTACCTTGAAAATTCTAAAAGCCAAACAACCACATTGTAAAGGATGTGTAAACTGATGAAATATAACTACAAGGTGTAAAGATAAGATATTTAGACTACAAAAAGAAACAAATCAGAGCCCAGCTGAGAATCCAAAACACCTAGATTATGGTATCTTTCTTGTTTGGTATTGTTTGTTTGCAAATCAAAATTATTCACAATCCCAAACATACTGGACATGGATAACCATAAGAGTTAGGCAGAATATATAAAAATGGACCAGAGATAAGTTCCATCAATTTTGGATAAAAATCCCAGGTGATAAATGTAACCCTGAAACTAAAGATATAATGATATGATGAACAAAAAATAAAAAAAAATAAAAAATTCAGATTCATCCCTCTGCTCGCTTGTACTTCTAAAGGGTACAAAGACCAGAGACACGATGTAATGTAACCTGAAGTCCTTGCTGAATATAGTCGGAAACATCTTAAGAAGCAAGATGGTTTGAGTGTGTGTGTTTGTTGCTAGACAATGAACCATCTGTGGTCTGCTCACGATGAGTATTGGAGTATCAAAGTCCAATTATTTGTGAAATAAGCCCACAGATGTATATTTGAGGCAACCTGAAAGAAGGGGGGGGGGCAAAACCAAATGAATCAGCTGCACAGACCAATTAATTAAGATAGGTAGAGGAAGATCCATGTAAAGATATAAACAACTGATGGTTTCTTGAAAAAATTCCATTCTTGCAAAAACAGAGAAATACTGAGGCAACCATTTCTCACAGCCCAAGTCTCAGATAGCAAGGCTTTACCTAAGTAGAAAAACTGTAAGAGAAACATCAATGTCCTCACCCTGAAGTTAGTAATGAAGTAAAACATATCTTCAGAGAAAGAGACCTGAGTGGACAAGTTGAAAAGGTACTAAACAGGCAACTGAAGACCAGACTCAACTCATACAGAGGACCACATCTGGAAAAGAGCCAGAAAAAAACGATAGGGAAGACAACAGTATATGACTTCTGTGGCAACAGAAAAAGATTGAGAGTGGACCTTTGTAGCCTGCAAGAGAAGGAGACGGGCCCTGATTAATAATAAGATACACAAAAATGAGGCAAACTATGAAAGAGTTGGAGTAAGACAAAATCCAATTCAGCAGACACAACTCCAAAAGGGAGATCAATAATAATGGAAGACATCCAAAAAGGAATGTCTACAAGAATATAACATTCTAGCTACTCATAAAAAGCCAGCTTCACTAATACAGGACCACATAACAACCAGTCATAACACTGGAAATAGCAATCATTACAGGTGTAGCAAAAATAATGGAATATGATTCCTCTAAGACAGACAAGAGAAATGGAAAACAGACTAGTCTGGGAAAGAAGAAGAACTAGACAGTGGGACCAATTGATCTTGGTCAATACTTGAGAATGAGGACAAAGAAGGTGGGCATAAAATTATTTCTCTCAGTGGACTCAAAGCATCCCCCATTAGAGAAGCCAGACTTGGAAATGAGTAAAGAATCAGAAAATGATGCACAGCTATCATGAATTCGTCCAACAGAGGATGACCAAACTGTTTGCACAAGGAACAAAATATCAACTCAGAGAAAGACATGATGTGAACGTAGCATAAAAAACACAGAATCTACATCAAATACCTCTTATGAAAGAGTACCACATAGCATGATGATATAAGTCATCATAGTCCAAGTGTGGGTGAATACAGCGGTTCGGTAACAAGGGCAGAAACTCCCATCATGCAAGTGGAACAACCAAAATCTCTAAACGTAAAAATGGGATATCGAAAGATAACAATACCACAATCTATGGGAAATGCTTTAAACCATCAAACCCACATCACAGGATATGTCTGGCAGATACAGAAGTATGTGTACCTAAAACTAAGGAGATGGGTGAATAATTCAAGAGAAAGTATTAATACAAAAAATGCAAAAAAAGATATTGAGTTCGCACAACCTGAAACACTGACTCATGAACAGTCCAATCCAGAACAAGGGATCATGTAAACAAGATACCGAGTTTGCACAATCTGAAACACTGACTCATGAACAGTCCAATTCAGAACAAGGGATCATGTAAACAAGATACTGAGTTTGCACAATCTGAAACACTGACTCATGAACGTCCAATCCAGAACAAGGGATCATGTAAACAAGATACCGAGTTTGCACAATCTGAAACACTGACTCATGAACAGTCCAATCCAGAACAAGGGATCATGTAAACAAGATTCTGAGTTTGCACAATCTGAAACACTGACTTATGAACAGTCCAATCCAGAACAAGGGATCATGTAAACACGATATTGAGTTGGCACAATCTGAAACACTGACTCATGAACAGTCCAATCCAGAACAAGGGATTATGTAAACAAGATTCTGAGTTTGCACAATCTGAAACACTGACTTATGAACAGTCCAATCCAGAACAACGGGAGTCACTGTAAACAGATATTGAGTTGGCACAATCTGAAACACTGACTCATGAACAGTCCAATCCAGAACAAGGGATTATGTAAACAAGATATTGAGTTGGCACAATCTGAAACACTGACTCATGAACAGTCCAATCCAGAACAATAATAGCAGAGACAGTTATTGAAAATAAAGACGAGATAATCAGTATGTGTAAATAAAAGTCCAATAATAGCAGAGACAGTTATTGAAAATAAAGACGAGATAATCAGTATGTGTAAATAAAAGTCCAATAATAGCAGAGACAGTTATTGCAAAAAACATCATAGTAACACAAATTTCAACAAAAAATCTAACGTACATGGGAAAACAGGACTTGGATTTACTAATGCATGCAAAATATGTCACCTATAAGGTGGGAAAGTGAAGTATGACAGGAAGTGATTTATATAGTACGCAAATATGTGAAGTTCTTTTAGAATTCTGATGTCATATGTTTTGTTTCCAGAATGAATTCAAATTTAATAAGAAAAGGTTTTTAGTATTTCAGATGATAGTCTGCCTGATTTGAATCTATAAACGTCAGTCAAAGCTCTACAGTCAATTCAATACCGTGAAGGTTGTGCCCTTGTTTTTATAACTTTTACAGTTGTGAAACACCTAGCCAAGGTTAGTTCAAGCTTTACAGTCAACTTGATGCTGTGAAAGTAGTGCCCTTGTTTCTATAACTGTTACACTTTTGAAACACCTACCCAGGGGTAGTTCAAGCTCTAGCCAATAGGAGGACACTGATCTACATTCAGTTCCTTCATATAGTTGTTTATTGTATATTCAGATTTGAAATATAAGAACATGAGGAACTAAAAATTCTATTTTCAAACTGATTTATTAGAAATACAAACCTTGGCAGTCTTCCAGGAAATCCTGAACTTATGGGTGGTGGTCCAAAAGGCCCACCTGGTGTTCTGAAACGACTAGGATCCATCAGCATTCCACCACCAACACCCCCTCCAAAGGGGTCCAAGTCTCCTCTCCCCACCCCAAAAGGATCTCGATCAGTCATCCTGTAAGATAGAAAAATGGAACAGAAATTAGTGACGAGTTAAATAACCCTACTCTTCTCTTCCAAGAAACGTTATCACATTAACCAACTTACGTATACATTGTCAACTGCTTGTAAAACCCTACAGACTGTGTTATCACTAACCAACTTACCATTACATTTAACACACATATGTATACATTGTCAGCTGCTTGTATAAAACCCTACAGACTGTGTTATCACTAACCAACTTACCATTACATTTAACACACATACGTATAGTTGGTTAGTGATAACACAGTCTATAGGGTTTTATACAAGCAGCTGACAATGATATGTACACATTGTCAGCTGCTTGTATAAAACCATATAGACTGTGTTATCACTAACCAACTTACCACCATGTTTAACACACATACGTATACAATGTCAGCTGCTTGTATAAAACCCTACAGACTGTGTTATCACTAACCAACTTACCACCACATTTAACACACATACATATACAATGTCAGCTGCTTGTATAAAACCCTACAGACTGTGTTATCACTAACCAACTTACCACCACATTTAACACACATACATATACAATGTCAGCTGCTTGTATAAAACCCTACAGACTGTGTTATCACTAACCAACTTACCACCATGTTTAACACACATACGTACACACTGTCAGCTGCTTGCATAAAACCCTACAGACTGTGTTATCACATTAACCAACATACGTATACATTGTCAGCTGCTTGTATAAAACCATATAGACTGTGTTATCACTAACCAACTTACCACCACATTTAACACACATTGTCAGCTGCTTGTATAAAACTAATTTAACCAATTCCTTATAAGCTTTCTTTTATTATTTAACTGAAGTTGAACTTTAGAAAAATCTTTCAGACATCAGTGTTACTCCATCAACAATATGCAAGTTTGACTGACCAAACTCTTTTGTACCAACTATCAACAGGTGAAGTTTTAAATCGTTAATGGAAAGAAAAAGAACTCCGCAACATAATCCAACAAGAACTGCTTGAAGTGACAAAGATGAGCCACTCTGACTCAGTCTGACACAAACTCCGCAACATAATCCAAGAACTGCTTGAAGTGACAAAGATGAGCCACTCTGACTCAGTCTGACACAAACTCCGCTACATAATCAAACAAGAACTGCTTGAAGTGACAAAGATGAGCCACTCTGACTCAGTCTGACACAAACTCTGCTACATAATCAAACAAGAACTACTTGAAGTGACAAAGATGAGCCACTCTGACTCAGTCTGACACAAACTCTGCTACATAATCAAACAATAACTACTTGAAGTGACAAAGATGAGCCACTCTGACTCAGTCTGACACAATTTTCACTGTAGCAGGCACAGATATAATGCCACAAAATAATTCAAGAGTAAAAGTAAGGGAAAGTGTGTTCATCTCATTCTCATTAAACTTCTACATTTACCATCTTCCCAATGTAGCAATGAGAAGTGTTACTTAGAAACAGAAAGTGAGCTGGAGCTCTGGACACACAAGCTGTACTTCAATACCATATCTCCTAATGTCCAAAACACACAAACGTAAGATTTAAGATTTACCAATCAGTAAGTGGTCGACGTTCCGTGCCTGGGATACGAAGTGGGTCATCATCTTCAAGCGTGGACTTTGGTTTGTTTACTTTTTTGTCAGACTTTCTTTCTTCACTGGTTGATGACGTTCCTTGTTTTGATGATGATGATGCTGTTGGTTTATTCACTTCAGACAGTACTTCCTTTTTAAATCTGTCTTCGAGTGTGTCAATGTCTTGAAATGCACTGAACGAAAAATACAAAAAAATAACTGGATTAATATTGTACTACATCATCAAAAACTGATTTATTTCTGACTTCTTGGATAAGTGGGAGTACAATGTAAATATATCTGATGTCTTGGGTAACTGGGAATTCAATGTAAATACTACTTGTATAAGTGGGAATACAATGTAACTACTACTTGTATAAGTGGGAATACAATGTAAATACTATTTGGATAAGCAGGAATAAGGGGTAAATTACCTTTGACTTATTAGATCAGTAACGATACAATGTAAGTGACTCAGCCTGTGTCTACACAAGTATTTATTTACTGAAAGAAAAATAATCTTAATAATTTAAAACTATCATGCACGAAACTGTGTTCTTTATACACTGATATAACCAACAGATTTTATTTCAAAAGGTTGGAAATAAAGATACAAAACAGTAACATCACAAAAGATAAAGGACAATTGATCGGGTGATAAACTAACTCAGATTACATCGTCACGTAAAACATTTTAAGTGGTTAAACTTCATGTAAGATGAAGATGTAACGTAAAATACTCCACAAAAATGTTTAATTCCAATCTAAGCAGAAGTGGCCATGAGAGATCAATCAGTTTAGATGATTTAATTCACTAGATCATAAGTACTGATGATAATACCATGTTCAGGTTAGAACCACTGAATTTACTAGATTATAAACAAGGTTGAGAATCATATAGCATATTTTGAGACTTGTGAATCTGGTACCCTATAGTGAAGTTATACTTTTATAACAGTACTTTCCATTAAAGATTTAAAACTTCACCTGTTGAAAGGGGAAATAACATATAATTTACATTAATATATATATATATATACTTAATCACAGGACCAAAGTAGTGTTCACATTCAATCAATATATCCAGTAAACTATATTACACAGGAAGGAGAACAACTGTTGACTTTAGATCTGTATATCAAGTAAACTATATTACACAGGAAGTAGAACAACAGTTGACTTTAGATCTGTATATCCAGTAAACTATATTACACAGGAAGGAGAACAACTGTTGACTTTAGATCTGTATATCCAGTAAACTATATTACACAGGAAGGACAACAACTGTTGACTTTAGATCTGTATATGAAGTAAACTATATTACACAGGAAGGAGAACAACAGTTGACTTTAGATCTGTATATCAAGTAAACTATACACCTGGGAAAAAGTTAAGCACCCCC